AGAGACACGAGAGAGAAGAAGAAGGAGGAGGAGGAGAGGAAAAGAGAAGTGATTCTTTTTTTTTTTTTTTTTTTTTTTTTTTGGGGGGGGATGGGAGGAGGGGCGAAAATAAGTGTAAAAACGATTCTTTTTTTTTGGGGGGGGGGGGTGCGGTGGAGGGGGGAGGGGGTGTATATTGGTGCGTGTTAGGCAAATCTCTTCTTGTTGTTTTTGTTTTTCTTCTTTTTTTTTTTTTTCTTTTTTCTTCTTTTTCTTCGTTTTTTTTTTTTTTTTTTTTTTTTTTTTTTTTTGCTTTTTTCTTCTTTGAATTGAGAGATAGAGAAAGAGGTAGGGAGGGAGGAAGGGATAGATAGATAAAGAGAGAGAGGCGAAGGGTGAGAGGAGAAGGGGAAAGAAAAAGAGAGAGAGAAAGGAGGGAAAAGAGAGAGAGAGAGAGAGAGGTAGATAGATATAGAAAAAAAAACTGAAAAAGAGAATGAGGAAGAAAATAATAAAAAGAGCAAGGAAAAAAGACCAACAACAACAAAAATATGACAAAGAGAAGAAAAATAAACCATAAGAAAAATATATATATGACAAAGAGAAAAAAAATAAACCATAAAAAATATATATGACAAAGAGAAGAACCAAAGAAAAGAAAAATAAACCCTAAAAAAAACAAAAACACACAAAAATAGAAAGAATTTCTCCACGCTTTCGAATCCTTAAAAACAACATTTACAACCCCTGAATGGAACCCAAACGCAAAAACACATTTCCTTCCGCCTTTGACGAACGAAAACACATCCAAGCAAGCAACCAACCAACCAAGCAAACAAGCAAACAACAAGCACGGGTCATTATTCCTCAAAACATCCAAAAAACCTCACGGAAAACCTCTTCTGAGAAACCGTCTGGATATTTCACGTTTTAACACTTCAATCTTTTGCCTGTTTTTGACTCGATGTTTCTTAATATTTAAGAGGAGGAGGAAAGAATGAGAGAATGGGAGGAGGAGAGAATATGAGAATGGGAGAAAGAAGGGAGAGAGAGAGAGATGAGAGAATGAGAGAATGGGAGGAGGAGAGAAATGAGAAGGGAGGAGGAGGAATGAAGAATGGGAGGAGGAAGGAATGAGAGGATGAATGAGAGAATGAGAGAATGGGAGGAAAAAAGAGAGAATGAGAGAATATGAGAAGGGGAGAATGAAGAGGAGGAAAGAAAGAGAGAATGGGAGGGGAAAAGAATGAGAATGAGGAGAAATAAGAGAAGGGGAGGAGGAGAGAATCTGAGAAGGGGAGAATGGGAGGAGGAAGAGAGAATGAGAGGGGGGGAAATGAGAGAATGGGAGGGGAAAGATGAGAGAATGGGAGGAGGAGAGAATGAGAGAATGGGAAGAGGAAAGAATGAGAGAATGGGAGGAGGAGAGAATGAGAGAATGGGAGGGGGAAAGAAATGAGAGAATGGGAGGGGGAAATGAGAGTATGGGGTGGAGGAGAAGAATGAGAGAAATGGAGGGGGAAGAAGAGAGAATGGGAGGGGGAGAGAATGAGAGAATGGGAGGAGGAGAGAATGGGAGGGGAAAGAATGAGAGAATGGGTGGAGGAGAGATGGGAATGGGATGAGAGAGAGGGAGGGGGAAGAATTGAGAGTGGAGAGGGAGAATATGAAATGGGAGGAGGAAGAGAATGAGAGAATGGCGAGGGGAAAGAATGAGAGAAATAGGAGGGGGGGGAGATGAGAGAATGGGAGGGGGAAAGAATGAGAGAATGGGAGGAGGAAAGAATATGAAAATGGGAGGAGAGAGATGAGGAATGGAGGGGGAGAAGAATGAGAGAATGGGAGGAGGAAAGAATGAGAGATAGGAGGGGGGGGGATGAGAGAATGGGAGGGGGAAAGATGAGAGAATGAGAGAAGGAGGAAAGAATATGAAAATGGGAGGAGGAAAGAGAGAAGGGGGGAAGAATGAGAGAATGGGAGGAGGAAAGAATTGAGAATAGGAGGGGGGGAGATGAGAAAATGAGGAGGGGGAGAGAGAGAATGGGATATGAAAATGGGAGGAGAGGAGATGGGAGGGGGGGAGAGAATGAGAGAATGGGAGGAGGAGAGAATATGAGAATGGGAGGGGGAGAGAATGAGAGAATGGAGGGGGAGAGAATGAGAGAATGGGAGGAGGAAAAATGAGAGAATGGGAGGGAGGAGAGAATGGAGGGGGAGAAGAATGAAGAATGGGAGGGGGGAGAATGGGAGGAGGAGGAATATGAGAATGGGAGGAGGAGAATGAGAGAATGCGAGGGGGAGAAGAATGAGAGAATGGGAGGAGGAAAGAATGAGAGAATGGGAGGAGGGGAGAATGAGAGAATGGGAGGAGGAAAGAATATGAGAATGGAGGAGAGAATGATAGAAATGGAGGGGGAAGAATGAGAGAATGGAAGGAGGAGAGAACATGAGAAGGGAGAAAGGGGGAAAGAAAGAATGGGAGAATGGAAGGGAGGAGAGAATATGAAGAATGGGAGAAGGAGAGAAATATGAGAATGAGAGAATGGAAGGAGGGGAAACTATGAGAATGGGAGAGAGGAAAGAGAATGAGAGAAGTTGAGAATGTAAGGATGTAAGATTGAGACAATGCATTAATGGGAGAAAGAGAGAATGTAAGAATGAGAGAATAAGTGACTGTAGGAATGAGTGTAAGAATGAGAGTGTGAGAAAATGTAAGAATGAGAGAATGCAAAACAGGAAAATGAGAGAATAAGATGTAAGAGAGTGTTATAAAAATGTAAGAGGGTGAGGAAATGTAAGAATGAGAGAATGTAATAATAGGAAAATGAAAGAATGTGAGGATAGGAGAAAGAAAGAATGTAGTAATAGGAGAATGAAAGAATGTAAGAATAGGAGAAAGAAGGAATATAAGAATGAGAGAATGTCGGAATGGGAGACGGTAAGAATGGCAGGAGAAAGGTGCCAATTAATCTTTACTCGAGTTTATATAAGTGTCTGTGTGTGTGTGTACACGTGTGTTTGATTGTGGGTTTATATGTGTAAGTGTTTTTATTCCTTTGTTAGTGTTTCCATGTGTATGTATCTATGTGTCTGTGCGTCTTTGTTTAATCTTTTTGCGTATGTTGATGTCTAGAATTCTTTGATCTCTATCTATCTATCTGTATATCTCTATCTCTTTATCTCTCTCTATCTCTCGTTTATCTTTTTATCATTATTTCTCTTCTCCCTCTTCCTCTCTCTCTCTTCTTTATCTATCTTTATCTTTTCTCTGTCTATATTTCCTCTCTCTCTGTTTATCATCTTTATCTTTACGCTATCTATATTTCCTCTCTCTCTCTCTGTTTATCTATTTTTTATCATATCTCTCTCTCTCTCTCTCTCTCTCTCTCTCTCTCTCTCTCTCTCCTCTATATATATATATATATATATATATATATATATATATATATATATTATATATATATATCTTCTCTCTCTCACTTATTCTATCTATCTCACTCTTTGTGTATGTCTGTATCCGTCTTAACTGCCTTTTCCATGAATGTCATTTTTTTTTTCTTTTTTTTTTCTTCTTCTTCTTTGACTACGAACTGCTTCTCTTCTTCTTCTTCTTTCTCTTCTTCTTCTTCTTCTTCTTCTTCTTCTTTGACGTACGAACTGCTTCTTGTGTGTGTCCCAGATTCCCTCAGTTTCCCCTCTGTCGCCTTATGGTACAAAAGGGGCTGAAGCATTATTTACCATCCACGTTTTGCGGAATCCTCTCTCCTTCTATAAAGAGTGTAAAACTATTGTCCATCTCTTCTCTTTCTCTTTCTCTCTCTCTTCTCTTTCTTCTTCTCATTCTCTCTCTCTCTCTCTCTCTCTCTCTCTCTCTCTCTCTCTCTCTCTCTCTCTCTCTATTATTGTCTCTCACACTCCGTCTATCTATCTTTATCTTTATCTCTATCTATATTCCTCTCTCTCTCTCTCTTTCTCTCTCTCTCGCTCTTTCTCTCTCTCTCTCTCTCTCTTTCTCTCTCTCTCTCTCTCTCTCCTTCTCTCTCCTCTCTCTCTCCTTCTCTCTCTCTCTCTCTCTCCTCTCTCTCTCCTCTTCTCTCTCTTCTCTTTCCCTTTCTCTTTCTCTTTCTTCTCTTCTCTCTCTCTCTCTCTCTCTCTCTCTCTCTCTCTCTCTCTCTCTCTCTCTCTCTCTCTCTCTCTCTCTCTCTCTTCTCTCCTTCTCTGCTCGCGCTCTCGCTCGCTCGCTCTCGCTCTCGCTCTCTCTGCTCTCGCTCTCTCGCTCTCTGGCCGCTCTCTCTTGCTCTCTCTCTCTCTTCTCTCTCGTTGCTCTCTCTTCTCTTGCTCTCTCTCTCTTCTCTTCCTCTCTCTCTCTCCTCTCTTCTCTTTCTCTTCTCTCTCTCTTCTCTCTCTCTCTCTCTCTCTCTCTCTCTCCTCTCTCTCTCTCTCTCCTCTCTCTCCTCTCTCTCTCTCTCTCTCTCCTCTCGCTCGCTCGCTCGCTGCTCGCTCTCGCTCTCTCTCTCCGCCATCGCTCTCGCTCTTCGCTCTCGCTCTCGCTCTCTCTTTGCTCTCTCCGCTCTTCCTTGCTCTCTTCTCTCTCTGTCTCTCTCCCTCTCTTGCCTCTCTCTCTCCTCTCTCTCTCTCTCTCTCTCTCTCTCTCTCTCTCATCTTCTCTCTCTCTCTCGCTCGTCTAAACAGCTATTGGTCCACTTGGAAATAATGTCTGCTTAAAGAAATGTCATGTTATTTTTTCTGAAACTTTTTAACACTTTGGCGGATTTTTATATTTTCGGATCGTCTCTTGTGCAGAAAAAATATAATGATGTGATTTTTTAAAAAAAGAAACGAACATATGTTTTTCATTATTATTAAATCGTGTTTCAATTCATTCATGTTATGTTTTAATTGTGTTATGATTGTCATTGTCATTATCATTATCATTATTATCATCGCTATTACTATCGTCCTCATTATTGTAATTATCCTTATCATTAATCGTTATCATTATTATCATTATTACCATTATC